CATGGAGGAATTACCTCTAAAAAGTGAAAATATTAACAAATATTCGTGAGTGTCTGGGATCTGTGCCTGTCACAGACCAACACTTTAACTAAGTACCGACTCAGAGCCGGGATGATACTATTTGGTAAAACCAGGATTAAGGTAAAACTTTACTGAAATCCTCGTATTTCTGAGTAGTTCTCTCACATGCGTCTTCATCACCATGTCAGAGTTGTTTGAGAGAATTCGGTCAAGGCAAGCCTTCCCTCTTGAGGGTTGACATTGACCATATCTATCATCTCAATTGAATCTGCTGATCTCCCAAATAGATTTTCCCATTCTATTCGGGGAAAGTTAAACTCTCCCATTACTAAAGTGTCTCTCTTCAGACCAAGTAATCTAATGTCATTGTATAATGCTTTGTCCTTGTTTGTATCTGAATTTGGAGATCTGTAGCAACCCCCTTTTCGTAGACTATCTGACATTTTGTCAGTTTGTTTGTTCCTCACAGATTTGGTGCCAATTTCCTCTTCAAGTTTGAGTTGGTCTGCTTCAAGGTTATTCTTTTTATACATAGTGCTACCCCTCCTGCCCTTCTGCCTTTTCTATCGTTCCTAAATTTGAAATACCCTCTCATTGAAATTCCTTTCTATAATTTTCCATCAACCAGGTTATATGCTGTGTGGCATTAGCTCGGTTGGGTCAGGAAGATAATTCCTCATTATCAACCATGACAAATCTACTGATGGATGATGGCCTCCCAAGCCACCGCCATTCCGTTACAGTTCTGCAATTGTATGTACAAGTAGGTCACTATTGCAAATATAAAATCCTTTTCTCCACATGGTTAAACAAATAAACTTGACTTGATGTAACAATCCATGCAGCACTTTCACACAAGTTTATTTCATCCATCACTCTATCTCTGGAGTCATCATAGTCTGATGCATGTTCCCTTTGTGGATACCACTGCATCATTATTTTCTAGCACCAGCTGTCGTCAATTAGAGCAGTGTGTTCTGCCCATACCAAACTTTTTAAAACATTAATTATATATTCTTGGTTCTTTCGGTAAAGTCAAGAATATGAATCCCTGCAGTCACGAAAGCTTTAAATCAAAAATGTATTATGTAAACACGTTGCCTGTCGCAGATAATATAATTAATAATATATTGAGCATTGTTCCAGGCAATAATCAGGACAAATTTCTCTACTGACATTCTCCACCACCTGACAGAACCAAACGAATTCAATTGTCAAGTATACAACCATTTAATGCACAAACAATTATTATTTTGGCTAACCATAAGTTTAACAATTATAAATGTTTCCATTAGAGATGATTTTTCACTCACGACTACAACCAAGCATCTTCCGGACAGAATTCATGAAGTCAGAATAAAGTCCAGGAAGTCAGAATAACCATGACACTGACTCGACTTCTTAAATAGGTATCATGACATCACAGGAACAGGCAATCAGAAGATTTTAACCATTAAAAAAGAACGTATACTCAATTTATTACAATCTTCTGGCTCAATGATTCACTTATGATGCATGTATTCATTATACTGCCTATTAATATACTAGCCTGTACCAGGATAGCATTGTTGTGTTCGACATGTTTATTTTAGTTAACTATATGAATATATATTTTTTCCAAGCTGTACAGAGTCTATAACCAGCAACTCCAATAATGTATGTTTTATGTTCTTTATCTAGAAAGATCTTCATAGATTCCCTACTTACTCTTTGGAAATGAAAGTTAATATGTAGCACTTCCATATTGTTCATCTTTGTTGCACTTCTACTGCCATACATGTTCTGCAACAGTACACATCTGAGTGTGAGTATTTCATACATCTCTGATGTTCTTCATGCGAACGTACTTTTTTCATCCCCTTTGACCACAAGTTCACATATAGGAATCTTCCTTGATAAGTTGTAGAATGTTGCATTGTTTTGCACATTGCTGATGAATTCAGAGAACATATTCCCTATAAGTTTAATGTTTTGCATTTGCATCTTTTTTACTCGAAATGACTTACAGCGAATTGCATTTTTATTTAAATGCAACAAAAATTGCGCAATTTTTTTCCTCGGAAAGCATGCAGTGAAAACCGACTATTTTTCAATGTAATACCATACTGTACGCACATTGTGCGTACCACCGAAATTCCCTGCTATGTGCTCAGCCTCCTTCTGCCAGCTCACCATTTTGTGTAGTCATTGCACATGTGATAGGTAGCAATATGGTTTAAAGGTAAAAAGGGCTTATAGGAGAGCATATCGCACAGTAAAGCGTTTTGAAGCAGCGGAAAAGGCAGTCGATATTGCCATAATTCTTGACATACCCATGACTTCGGTGAGAACTATTCGAGTTAATACAGGAAAAATTGTAGAATGTACTCAAAATGTGGCACATTTATTTGCCACTAAAATGACGCAGAGCAATAATGGAATTCTAGAAAATATTGAAAGACTTTTAAGTGTCTGGATTGAAGATCAAAATCATCATAGCTCTTCAACCATGTATGTAAGCTTTACCTAATTATGTGTATGTATTATTAACTTATAATCATATGCATTATTGTACAATTCATGACATTTTGTGACACTTTTTTGCCCCCAGAAATGTCAGCTCGTGAACACAACCCCTGATTTTAACATGTCTATGAGAAATTAGAGTTCGCTTTAAGTAATTTCGAGTTCAGTCGTATTTCCCAGGAACGCATCCCTTACGTATAGCGGGGGATTCCTGTAATCTATCTTTAGCTGGTCTTATATTTAGTTTTTTTGTATTCTAGCAATTTGATCAATGATTCCAGCGTTAAGAGGTCAAGTTCTTCGTCATATCTTTTTTTGTTACTTTTTTCTTAAATAATCACAGACTCGGATGTTTCCCGTGTACATAAACCTGCAGAACCCTGTCTGTGACATATCGTTAATGTACAAGTTGAATAGCATTGGAGCCAGCACAAATCTCTGGGGAAGCCTGTACCAACTTGTGCACTGGTTGGCACACATCTTTAGATTGCAGGGCATATTCCAGATTAGCTGCAGCGTTCAGCAACATGGTAGGATTCTGGCCAGCTTTAGCATGAGAACTTGCTTTTTAAACTAAATCATAGGCCGAAGACAAGTTTATGAATGCGGCACCAGTCTTGGCTCTGACATGCAAGTTAAAGCATTGTGCTTGATTTGCAGAACCCAGGCATCTCAGCATTGCCTGGATTTTGCCGCTTTATGGTAATTTTTAAATCCTTCCGACAATTTGAGACCTGCTGCAGTTGTGGGGCGCTGTGGTGGGGAGACATCAACTACCTCGCCTATTGTACAGGAGGTCGTGGGTTCGATCCTAACGCCTGTATATTTAGAGTTTTGCATGTTTTCCCTGTGGTTTGTGTATTTTTCTCTGGGACCTCCGGTTTTTCCCTCCACATTTAGAAAGATGCATTTAGAGAATTTGGCTGCTATAAATGTCCACATGTGACGCCACTTCGTTGAGTGATCATATAGCTCAGTGGGCCTAACCTGGTAAAATAAAAAATTGTTTATAGTTTTTATAAAGTAGTTTATTTTAACATATATATTTCAAACAAAAAACGCCCATACTACATTGTGCTGGCTGGCAGGACTTGAATACATTCTTGCTTTTAACCGCTAACTTATATGAAGTCCTCCCGATATATGGGGCTTCCAGAGGCATAAGTCAGCAGAAAACATTGCTGACTGCACTTCCCTGATGCATCCTAATGAGGAGCAAACCAGTCTTAAAGTTGGTCCTTTGTATCACAAACAAGCCTTTCACATTCATGTTGAACAAATTTATTTGTTTAAAAATATATTTAACTTTTCTAAAACTTACTTATTTTAATGCATACATGTAATGGTTTCATTGCAGCAGAAATGGCAACTTTCTACACACTAACCCTTTTACATATATTTTCTCGTTGTGAAATTAAATCGAGTTCTGTTCTATTACATACAGGATACCTCTGAATATCACGGGGGTTACGTTCATTGGAAAGTGCCACGAAAGACAAAACCTCGATATTCAATACTTAAGCCTTACCTAAATAACGGGGTTAGGTACACGGCAACCAAAAATAGACACATCACAATTGAAAAAAGTACTGTATGCCAAATAATAAAAAAATATATATGTTAAACCCCAATGCAAAAAAACATTCCTAGACAATAAATAGGAGCATAAATACTGAATAAGTACTGTACTTACCAATGATGATGATCCAAAGCGAGTGCGTGTGTGTTTGTCCGCGAGTGGGGAGCAGTAGTGCCATAGTTCGCGTGCTGCACTACGAACCCGGTGACCCGAGCTCAATTCCTGCTCGTGGCCAACACCGGTGACGATTTTCTAAATCGGTCCTGGGTCTCCCCTAGGTCGACTCGGCCTCAATTGAGTACCTGGTGCTATGTGTAAACGTCGCGACTTGAGAGACAAAGGTGGACGGATGTGGTGCTGGCCACCCACCCCCTCGTGTGCTGTGCCGGCCTTCATTAGGTGCTCGCTAACAGCACTTGCCCCAACAGTCTGTTGAGGCTCTACCGGGGTGTTTTTATTTGTCCGCGAGATGCTGGCATGACAAAAGTTGAGGTGCCACCGACTGCCTCGTTCGTGTCCCTCGCCCGTCCCACCCCGCACCACCCCGCACCACCGTATTAGGCAGTTATATAGTACTTCCGTGTAAAGTATATTCGTCAAAGGCCAAAACTAACTTCTGCAATAGCTAAATTGAAATACAAAGAGGTTGTATTTCAAACCCTTGATATTCAAGGGTCTTCTATACTTGTAATGGAGGCTGTAAAATACTTTCAATGGAGGTGGTGATGATAACATGAAATTTTCTACTTTTAGCGAATGATATATTTTGACAAAGAAGCAGTTTAATTTTCCCAAGTAGAATTTTATGTGAAATCTATAATAGTTTCCTAGTGTGATCATGTTAACCATTCATGTGATGTATGCTGTCATATCTGCCCCCACTTCCCTTTCCTAGGATTGGATCGAGGCTCTGAATACAGCTTTCGCGTAGCAGCTGTCAACAGTAATGGCACAGGCCCCTTCTCTGATTGGCTTTCGTCAGAGACTTTTCAGGCTGACCTTGATGGTAAGCTGTGTGCTATAATGTTTACATTTTATCTTGAAGTTAAATACATTATTTTTATTCTCAAAAGAGCGTGTCGTTCATTTCCTATGCAGAGGCTGACAGTGTTGAAATTCCACATTTTTAGAGTAGGGGTAAGTAAGATATTTGTCAATGTTTGAGAAATACAATACAATTTGAATTTATATAGCATCTAAATGCAACCACATTTCAAGATGCTTCACAAAAATGAACAAAAGATATTGCAGGTTAAAAGGATCTTCACAATATATAAAATATGAAATCATAAAAATTACAAAAAATACAAAAAAATGAAGACCCAAAATATAACTTCCCAAAATAAAACGACCTTACAAACTGCCAATGTTTAACCCATGGCAGATTGTTGGGATGTGTCCTGGGTACAGAGGTAAAATATAAATACAACAGTTGCCTTAGAAAGCATTTACTTCAAGCACCAGCGCCATCAAACAGCATTGTGAGCAGGCTACAGTCTGGGTGGGCCTAAGACACTAATAGTAATAAAAAAAAATATCAGTTAAGATATAGAAAACTTACAAATTAATAGCAAAAAAAATCTAAAACATTTAGGTTTATAAAGACATTCAAATTATTTAGACAAGAAGAAAATATAACTAAAAAAATGTAACTTAAAATAATATTGAATGCATATAAAAAATGTAAAACATTTATGAACAATCAGTTATACGCATTTAAAACAAACCATATGGATTAAAACAGGTTTGAAAGATAGAATCCACCAGATTTAAAAATTGCAACAATTGTACCACCGTATAAAAATGTTAATTCATATTGATGTCTCAAACTTTTGGTCGAGGGATAGTTTGATCAACATTGGACCCTGTTCAACGATAAAATCCTTACTGGCAAATCTGCGCCATGCTTAGCTAATTCATTAACCTCTTTGTGAAATCAAAGAAACCTAAGACGTCCAATTAATTGTCTTTGAACTATCCCAAGAACAAGAATTGCCATTGCAGCACCAACGTTTTGGAACAAGCTTGTTTCCTCCCTTAACATTTTAGATCTTCCTTCAAATATATTCTGAAGCAGAAGGTTAGTGCTGAACACAGCCACATTTGCGAAGGTGATTTGTAAATTAGATTTTTTAACAATGTATCGAAAGTAAAATGTGTATGTACAATTTCAGTAAAGGACTGTGTGTTGTCTTGGTGTGGATTGGTACTGTTTTGCTGTTGTTTTACTGCCTTTCCCAAACTTGGGAGTTGATGTACTAATGCAATTTGAACTGATATATTAGTTATTAAAGGGGCGCCCTGATGGTGTGATGTTATATTCCTCGCCTGGTTTGCAGGAGGTTAGGCATTTGATCCCAACCCTGACGCCTTTATATTTGGAGTTTGCATGTCTCTCTCCGCGGTCGCGTGGATTTTTTCTCCGCGTCCCCCCGGGTTTTTCCCGCCACATTTAGAAACATGCATCTAGATTATTTATATTCTTTTTCTGCTGTGGATTTCCACGTGATAAGCGACTTTTTTGAGCTATCATTTGTCGCCAGGTCGCTTCTGAAAAAGAAGATAATGGCTCAGTGGGCTTTACTTTTTAAGATTACATTTTTTTTTTTTAGTTTTTTTTGTATATATATTTTTAAGTGATTTGTTTATCTTGTCTATAATTTGCATTCCTATTGTTTTTTTGTATTATTTGTTGTAACTTTCTGACCTGCTCTTACTGGACATTGGGAAAAAGAGCTTTAGAGCTCATCGGATTTCGCCAGTCTAAATAAATACAGGTGACCCCCGACTTACGATGGCTCGACTTGCAACCCCATGCTTTTATGACCTTTCTTATAGTAAGACCCCCACAGTAACGACCAAAACTCGTATCTACGACTGTCTAACGACTGCTACCAACGCCGAGTCGATGGCGACGAGTGTGCACATGTCATGCGCAGACTCGTCGCCTGATGGTGCTGCTTTGCTCTTCCGCCGTATGCGTGTGTAGATTATAGTCCGATAGTCTGCAGCTGCACCTCGAGCGAACGCAGCGGTGTCTCTTTCGCAACGCTCTTCACTTTTTAGTACATTTACTTCAAATTTTTAAAGCTTATCGCCTTTTGCTATGTGTGAGACAAGAAAATGTGATGCACATGCAAAGAAAAGTAGTTCAGAATTTTCAAATGTTAGTGTTTGTTTTTATTTAATAACAGTTATGTTAAGTTACAATAAATTTTGTTAGGGTTATTTTAATTCATTTTTGTGGTTAATTTTGGTATTTTAATGGGATGTAATGGGTTTCCGAGAATGGAACCCCAATTCATAAAATTTCGCTTATGAGAAATTAAGGGTTCGACGGCTGTCGTCCAGGAACCAATTAGGTCGTAGGTGCGGGGGTCGCCTGTATTCGGATTCTGATATTGATCTGTCAGCATACTTGACCACTGCATCAGATTAAAATCTTCATGTTATTGTCATGGATAACGCTTTCCAACTAAGGATGAAACCATTAGATCTCTCCATCTGTTTATGTCTGTCGGTTTCTATCTATGGGTCATGGTAACTTTTATAGTTGATCAAATTTGAATACAATTTTAGTAAATATTTGTATTGCTACTAAAGACTCATTCTATTGAAAACCAGCTTATTTAAAGGATTGTGCAATACACCTTGATTTTTTAAAAAACCCAGCTCTTAAAACCCAGGCTATTTCGATTGCGTCATTACGTGTGATGTCATCTTGCGGCATATTCAGCGCCTTATGACGTCATACCATACGGCTCAGAAGATAATGTTATTCATCATGAGCAACCATGATCTACAGGATAAAGGCCTCTACAAGCCTCCGCCTTTCCCACAGTCCTGTAATGTAACAATCCACCTAGCACCTGCACGCAAGCTTATTCCATGGCTCTTTTTCTGCAGGTGAATGTCTTCGTGGGAATTTTCCTTCCCATGGCTGCCACCCCATCAACCATCAGCCATCATCCTTTCTAAGACCTATTCTGCCTAAGCCCACTTTTCTTAGGTGTCATAATTATGACCATTAACTTGCATATGTTCTCTAATGTGTGTTCCTCCTATTTTTCAATGCAATTCTAAGAAAACATGATGCACACTTTAGAATTTCTGTATTCATTAATGCCCGTATATCATACGTATTCATAAAAATGCTTCAAAGGACAAACACGTGTTGGAAAGCGTTACAGAGCCGGTGAATATGCATCAATTTTCCACCTTGTTATCAACATTTGACATTGAGCCTGATGTGTTTTTGGTGTTGCAGAATCAAGGGTACCAGACCAGCCCAGCTCATTGCATGTACGGCCATTTCCTACCAGCATTGTGGTGAGCTGGACACCACCTGCAAACCCACAGATTATGGTACGTGGCTACGCTCTAGGATATGGCATTGGAAGCCCACATGGCAAGTCGTTGCGTGTCGACAGCAAGCAACGCTACTACACTATCGACAATCTGGGTAAGTGGTATTGATATGTCACTTGCGTGCACATTGTGTTTTACACACCTGTAACATAAACAATAGACACTATGTAACACACTCCAATTTTGTGTTTGTACTCAGAAGTATTAGCAATAATAATGGTAGTGCTGTCACTAGGCATGTAGGAAGGAGTTCGTTCAGGTTTCAATGAGACAATGGGAATAAGAGAGTGGCTGCACGAGGTAGGGCTTGCCTTGGCTGGCAGGGCTAGGTTGGTTAAGGGGTTGGTGGCATCAGCTCATAATCAATAATGTTATATGGCAGTATTTAGCTCGTGCTCAGCAGCGAGATGCATTGTAGTGACAACATGGGGGGGGGGGACTTTATCAAACCATAAATAGATCATAGATGATGTTATAAGGCAGTATTGATGGCAAGGCATTGAGTTTTTGATCCATTTACTGTAGGCATCTTGGCCATGACTGTGGACTTTGGTAAATTATCCTTAGCTCTCAACTGTACCCTGGATTAACTGGAACTAGATTGTGGACTTTACCATAAGTACATTTGCCTGTATGGGAACTAGCCTTTGACTAACTTTGATATGTTAATTGTACCTTGGATTTCCTGTTTAAATTTAACTTTCACATCCAAGTACTGTGTTCATCATGTTGTAACCTAAGCAAGTTTTTTTTGGCTACAGTTCACTTGGGTCTTGCCTATTTGCCTTGGAAACCATTGCATACTCAATTGCGTTCTTCTCTGTGATCCCCAAGTTTCTTGTTTTCTCACTTTGCATTGATCTTTGGCCTGAAATCTGGTTATTTTGACAAGACTGTGGTCTGAGACAAATGCAACCGAAACTTAGATTTTATTTGTCTTTCTCTGGTTTATTTACATTTGGACAGTGATGAATTATGAGTCGAGGCTGAGAGTACATTTCTAGAAAAACAAGCTGTGACTGGACTCTGTTGCGTTGTAGACTGCTTTCAGATAAGCTTTGGTCTTTATGGAGGTTTTACAATTTTGCCTTATAGAAGCGATAAGCCCAAAGCGACCATCACAATAGGGCAATTTGCTAATCACATCACTGTATAACTAGACAACATTAAAACATCACTTATATTTATTGACTTTCAGAAGATAAGAAAGCATTTTTATTCAAATGCGGACCTGAAAAACCATGTGACCATTATTTTTTACTCTGTGATTAACTTTTGCATTTGCAATATATTCTACTGGCTCTACATAGATTACAAAAATTATCACGTCATATCTTTAATATTCACATTACAGCAGACTACGTGCTTTGCTAATCTTTGGCAAAAAATATATATAGGTGGCTGTACGAACTGAATTGGTAAGAGGAAACAATTGGGCTCAATGGTGATCATAATACTTAATTAGTTTACATTTCAGCAGCCTCTTAAATGTAGCTAGAATATCAACTAGATTATTTGTTAGCATAGCCTGACTTCATATTAACAACATATTTACTGAAATCAATGTTTGTGATATTGGTTCCATGAGTTGGTTTCCTACAATCATATTTTGGTAATGTCAATTACAGTTGGACAAGTAGTAGTGCTACTATATTTTGGTTCATTTTTTTACCCATGAATTTGCACCCATCCTGTTCAAGTATATTTTGCATGGGGAAAAAAAACAGTATTAGGCTTCTTAAAATGCAGCTTTGTATCTGTGCATCAATGCTTGCAGTATTGTCCATCTATTTGTTAATGTGACACTGCCACAAATTGTTGAAGGGCACGCAGCCAACACAGCTTTTGTGCACATTTTATTTTGTTACCACGATCGCTTTGTTGAGGCAAAGTCACATGGGTGAACTATGTTGTGTATGTAATAAACATGTGCCATGCAGCTGTTTTAATTGCAATGGTCTTGTTTTATCGTGCAGAGCCAAGTTCACAATACGTCATCTCGCTGAAGGCCTTCAACCACATGGGAGAGGGCATCCCACTCTATGAGAGTGCAACAACACGCACACTGTCAGGTAATTAAGTTGCCATACCCAGCAATTTAATGGCATTTAGTTATTTTACAGGTGAGACAATGATCATTATTATAGCACCACTAAACCAGGAAACTATTTATAATTGTAACCTATTAATTGCCAATATTAAAACTATTAACTTCACAGGCCGGCTCTTAAATGCCAGATTTAAATTGTTTGTATAACGAATACACGAGCTGTGTTTTTCGTCAATGTTCAATTATTTCCCTTAACACATTCCTGCGGAGGGAGCTGGTAGGAACGTTGGGTTGCTCGGTCAATGGCCAGGGTCAACGGCGGCGTGGTGTATTCCGCAAATATGCCCGACCTTGAGGGCGGGCACAAGCCGGCGTGAGTAGGTTAAACGTTGAGTTTTATAAGGGCACCACGGGGTGACCAACCCCTCCCCATCCAGCCCCACGCCTCCCACCCCCACCCAGCCCCTCCCTCCCCACCCAGCCCCTCCCCACCCTCCCCTCTCCACCCTCCCCTCTCCACCCAGCCCCACCCCTCCCATTTTTGGATGCACGACGGATGGACACAATAATTCCCTGTGGGCTGGTGGAACCAGGAGGTTACTACCAGTAAAATATATACTTCATGTTTTAGTGCAGTGGTCATGTATTGTTACATTAATTTTGTTTTAATGTTTCAAAGCAATATCCACTTGTCATTTTCATTTTGCAATAAAAATGAGCATTTGTTAAAGGGTATTATTCATGCCATCAGGTGAATTCACAAGCAGGGCTCTTTGTCGATATTTCAGAGGCTCGCAATTACTGTGTTCTGCAGTGTTCAGCAACAGGGCTACTTGACACAGAACCCCGAGTGCAGCATCCCAGATTACATTCTCATGTGATCTGGTCAGCCAGCCAAGATGCCATTGTACAACTCCAACAACTCGGACGAGACGCAATATACAACCACAGGCTCCCCCTGCCTTCCTCTCCTCCCTGTGGCTTTTATAGCCCATTTATATCGGTAGCAGCTGAGACAATTACCCAGGCATACCCTGGGGTAATGCATGCTCAGTTTCACCAAGAAGGTAATAATTGTTAAAATTGTATTAGCCCTCAGTCCGATGGGATGCACCTAATCCTGTTCAGCCTACTCCCATAGAAGCCTGTGAGATTTATCTGTGGGCCTTATAATAGCCAATGCCTTTTAATTATATTCTGGTAAAATGAGTTATGCTGACCAGCCAGAACCATGAAACAGGTGAGCCAACTTGTAACATAAAAGTTAGCCCACGACCCCCATAATGAAAGTCTGACTCTCCATGTCCTCTCGCGACACAAAATTACATTTGCATGTTCTCGTCCAGGGAGATGTTTCACCATGAGGGAGAAAGCCTGGAGAGCAAGGCAATATTGAGTGACCAGAGCATTTAGTATCTTCACGGTATTTGGCCAGTGCAGCGGCACATGGTAATATCTCAGATGTTGTGTGATCAATTTGATGGCCAAACCCAGAGAAAAATCCACGTGACCACGGGAAGAACATGCAAACTCAAAATATACAGGCGTCAGGGTTGGGATCAAACCCACGACCTCCTGTATACCAGGCGAGGTAGTTAACATCTTCCCACTGTGGCTGGTTAAACTGGTTAAAGGGGACCATCCGTGTAACAAATTAAATCAACATTATCAACCAAAATGAACACATATACATACAGTACAGCAAAACGGAGGGCGGGAGACATGACCAAATGGGCATATCTTTGTCTGCCTCGTTTTTGGAGCAGCTGCGCACTTTGCTTGAGTATCTGTGATGAGAGGCCACCCGTGGAAGGGGAAGAAACCTGGGGGGTGGGGGGAGGTGCGAATTTTACACAAACGCACCCCACGCAGCAGATGCATCGTTGAATAGTGCCATTGGACCCGAACCTGTTTCGTCTGACTCCGCTGTTGACTTGGTGAAAGGGTTCATCTTCTTGGTTCTTTCGGTAAAGTCACGTAGAAGGAAAATAATAAAATAATACAAATAAAACATTATAAAATTATTATCACGACGTTTCGGCCACAACGCAAGCAGCCGTCTTCAGGTGGAGAACAGGTCTGTCAAGTAGACAGAGTCTGTCTACTTGATTATTTTTATGTTTTATTTGTATTATTTTATTATTTTCCTTCTACGTGACTTTACCGAAAGAACCAAGAAGATGAATCCCTGCAGTCACGAAAGCTTTAAATCGAAATTTGGTGAAAGGGTGTCGATGGACTGTGGTTATTCACACGAGGGTGCATGCTTGCGGCACCCGAGCGTGCGCTTCTCTCCGTCCGCTGCACGTGGCCGGTCGACGCGATTGCTGTGCACTCAAACCACTGGATTGTTCTATAGTCGATGCCATCAACATTCTATTGATAGAACTGTCCCCAGGCCTACATCAGATGCATACATCTGTAAAATAACTCGTTTTAATTTGTTTTACCTACGGACTAAGCCTTAACACAAAATAGATTTCACTTTTTTAAAAGCTAAATCACATTCTGGGGAACACAACTTAGTTGGGTACAGATATCTTGGCGAGATTGTACAGTGGACAAATCATTGCAGAAATTTTGGAAAAAAAAGAACGACCTCACTTGTATCTTCGTTCGTGGGATTTCAGTCTACCAAGGCCTTAACTTATCCCACCGATTATTTTACCAACCCATCACCCAACTTGGACCACAGGTACTTGGTCTTCTCCTTACCTATGTTACATTTTTTGGGGGTGGTCAAACCTGGCTTCCTTCCCTGAGCGACTATGCCACTGCCCTTTCATGAGGCCATCAAGACAATGCCACCTGGTATTTTGATGACACGTGAATTAGAAACATGGGACATAGCCAAAGAAAATGGAATACAATCTGAAAAGTGCACAAATAAGCTTTTGGAGAGATACATACTTTGGATGGATTACGAGGATAAACAGAAAAAATGACACGTTAGAAAACATATGCAGATTAATGACTTCATCCAAACTATAAGAATATTAAGTGGGTTTTAAAAGTAATGTCTTGATGTACAATCGTCAAGAATAATAACATTGACAGGCAGCCAAGGAGTGGAAAGCTTCTGAGAGGTTGTACACTGAAGAGATGAAGCAATGTGTTAATCACGTGATGTGCGTGTGCTAGGTGTATTATGGAATTGCAAGATTATGGAATTGCAAGATTTTGAAAGGCGGTGGAGGCTTGGCACAAGGCCTTTGTCCTGCAGTGGATTGATCATGGCTAATGATGACCATGAAATGCAGGAGGTCGTGGGCTTGTTGTCGACCCTGATGCCTATATATTTGGAGATTGTATGCTCTGCCTCATGATCGTGTGGATTTTTCTCGCAGGTCCTCCAGTTTTGCTCTCCATGCGTTTAGATTATTTGGCTGCTCTTCAATTATAAATTCGATTAGCTATCACGTGTGAACAGCTTGCCTCTGAAAAAGAGCTAATATCTCATTGGCCTTTACCTGCTAAATAAAATAATGTAGTTTTATATACATAAGTACTTTTTCAGTTTGAAGCGTAAATTCGAATAATCCTGTTACTGGTTTACCAATGGCCATATTGTGCTTTACAATTTAAGGTTTCCGTCGCTTTATGTGGTAGATGCGTTACAAAAAAGGGCGCACAAAACTAAACCTCAGTGAAACAGCTGCCTGCAGAGTAGCGCATACAGTACACAATGTTGTCCCACGTCCGATCGTATATCTGCACCAGAGTGATTTTAAATTGCATATTGTGAATTTTGGGTAGAAATTGGTTAACCGCATATACCCAAAATTGCGCAAACCAAACCCGCATAAAGCACACCCAAACTTGTATAGATTTTAACTTTTAATAATATACGAATTTTTATATTTACAATAATATAAAATGACTCTATCCGAAGTTATGTTTGAATATTAATTGTCTAAAAATGTTTATAAAAATATGGATTGCAATGTTTGAATTTTTATAACATCTTACGTGCTGTTTTAGCCGAGAATACGATGAATATTAACATTTATTACTAACGACTCTTCTCTCTTGCTTCTTTGTTCTCTTTAAAACCACAACATTTCACTCATCGCTTCTTTTGCTGGCTTATTCATTTTGCCCTGCATGTTGTTGATTTTGTTCATTTTAAAGCCACCGCCTCCTCATCTCTCCTATAACACGCCCTGATCCCTATTTTTATGATTATGTTCACATTTCCCTCTTCATACCCTTAATTGGCTGCATGTTTCTGAATGCTGCATTATTATTATTTCCATGCTGGCCCCTCAGATCATATGGACCCTTCCGACATTGATTTATTTCATGTTTTTGCTGACCCGGTGACGGCAGTCCCAGAGCCACCCACACCCATGCTGCCCCCGGTGGGCGTACAGGCTGCGGTGTTGTCTCACGACACCATCCGCGTCGCCTGGGCTGACAACTCGCTGCCACGCAGCCAACGCATCCCTGATGCACGCCACTACACGGTGCGATGGAAGACCTACTATCCAGCCAACACAAAATACAAGGTGCGCCAACCTTGCATGGAACGTGTTACTTTAAATACACGTGCTCATATGATGATTATCGATTGAAGCAGATTAAAACAGGAATGTTAATTCTCCATTAAAAATTCAAGAGTGGAAATTGTGATTTTAGTTTTTTATATGGAGAGTCGGGTTTGCTCATAAGTGTGCCACACTCAGCTACCTTGCTCTGGATTGCCTTGGGGGTGGTATATTGATTCCACACTAGAACCAGTCACAGGCTGGTGGAAAGCTAATTACACTTTAACATAGTCGAAGAGAGGGAAAATCTAATTACAGACAAAAAGAGGATTTTTTTACGTAAAAGATCTAGGTCCGAATGTAGCTGAATTTAGACTAACTCTAAAAACATTTAAATGCATAGAGAAATAGTGATTCAATGGATGTCACCATCTTGATTTGAAGCTTTCGTGACTGCAGGAATAATAAAAATAAATCACGACGTTTTGGGCGCAACACAAGCGTCCATCATCAGGTGATGCGCTGTTCCAAACATATATCTATTCAACGAGTCAGATGACATCAATATAACAATTGGAATAAAATTGGGGAAAATATGACAAAATATTGTCACGAGGCAAGAAAAATACGGAAAGTCATCGACTTACGAACATAATTAGTTCCTGAGATCTGTTCGTAAGCTGAAGAGTTCCTAAGTCGGAACACAATAATGTAATATATTTGAATGCCAATACAGACAGTGTTGTGAAATGTGTTACAATTCAACAAAATAGGGAAGCATTGTTAAACTCATAAATAAGAACTATGATTCATGTGCATGTAATACTCTAATAGATAATGTATAGTAAATTAAGCATGAATTAAAGTAACATGAATAGAAACAAATCTGTTTTATTTTCACTTACCTTGAGTCCTAATGCTGGCTTGCTTGTCAGGAAGGGACGCAATGATTAACCACAATTGCACACACGCAGGACACACGCACACGCAAAGATCCCCTGTTTAGCCTTTTGACAGACTGTTGGGGCAAGTGCTGTTAGCGAGCACCTATGAAGGCCGGCACTGCACACTTCTGGAGTGGTTGGGGTGCGTGGCACCACACCTGCCCGCCATTGTCTCCTTAGTGGTTATGTTTTAACACACCGTACTAGGTACTCATTTGAGGCTGAGTCGACCTAGGGGAGCCCCAGGACCTATTCAAATAATTATCGCTAGTGTAGGTCGTGAGCGGGAATCACTCGGGTCGCCGAGTTCCTAGTGCAGTGCGCTAACCACTCCAGAATGTAAGACGTAAATCAATATTCAATGAACATTTTAACATACGTGATAAAGTGTGAAACCATTGAAGCCAATGTCCTTGATTATTGGAAATGTAATATTACTAACAATGACAGATTACTTAAGTAAACATTTTCCACTTTTAAAGTTCTAAATATGGATAGTCTTTGGGTTACGAACCTAATTCATTCCTGAGACCCGTTCGTAAGTCAAACGGTTTTGTTCGTAAGTCGGAACTCAATAATGCACTGTATTTAAATGCACATATGGTCAGTGTTATGAAATGTGTTATTGTTAAAATTAAAGGGAAGCATTGTTAAACTAATATTTAAGTAGAAATATTGTACATTTTCATGTAACACAGTAAACAATACTTTTTAGTAAATTAAACAAAATAAAGAAGCAAATAGAAAAAAACTGTTTATTTTCACTTACCTTGAGTCCTGATGCTAGCTTGTAGTTGGAAGGGGGGCAATGAGTCACTTCAATTGCACAAACACACACACATGGGGCACTCGTGCACAACATACACACAAAGACAAAGAGACACACCCTGACGACAACAATCCTCCACATGGAGCCTTAACAGGCTGTTGGGGCAAGTGCTGTTTGTGAGCAGTGCCTATTGGGGGTGGTGTGGCCAGCGTCACGCCCGGCTGTCTTTGTCTCCCCAGTGGCGATGTTTATGCTCCGCACCAGGTACTCATTTGAGGCCGAGTCAACCTAGGGGATGCCCAGGTCCCATTCAGATAATCGTCACTGCTGTTGATCATGAACAGGAATTGAACTTTGGTGGTCAGATTCATCGCGCTGCACGCTTATTGTTACATTACAACTCTTCACTACACTACCGCTCCACTTAGCAGACGCTTGGGGCAAGTGCTGTTAGCACGCACCTATGAAGGCCAGAACAGATCACGAATGAGTGGGTGGCCACCAACCACACCTGGTCACCTTTGTCTCCATAGTGGCAATGTTTACGCACTGCACCAGGTACTCATTTGAGGCTGAGTCGACCTAGGGGAGGCCCAATACTGGTTCAGATTATCATCACAGGTGTTGGCCGTGAGAGCGAATCGAACTCGGGTCGCCTGGTTCGTAGCACAGTGCGCTAACCACTACGCTACCGCTCTACACTACCCCTCTCCACTCCGCACACACTTTGACACACTTGTCCGAGTACGCACACATTCACGCAAACACTCCAAACATGAGGCCGACTCGTTATATCTCTCGGAGGATCGCTCCTCTGAACAAAATAGTTCCGCAGTTCAATTTGAAATTACGAGTTCGCGTTTTAAGTCAATATAAAATAGTTTTTATTTAATGGAGACTGGTTCGAAAGTAACGGGTGTTTGTAAGTCGGGCGCTCGTAAGTCGAGGACTAGCAGTGTATGTTGTGACGGCTGCATTTTTTTTTTACAATAGGAGTTTTGTGAATAAATGTACCGGGTTTCACTGTTTTTCAGATGGCGAATAGTACCTCACTGAGCTACTTAGTAGGAGGGCTGAAGCCCAATACTCTGTATGAATTTGCTGTCATGGTGACCAAGGGCCGACGTACCAGCACGTGGAGTATGACCGCGCATGGCACGACACTGGAGATGGGTGGGTTCAATCATTGCTTTGCACACAACAGGAATTTTTCTTCCTAAGCGACGTGTATGTTGATTTTATCTCTGACTGCACTGCCATAGAGCTTTGCATGACGAGATTGTATGTAAAAAGTCATGTGAGTATTCAATATTCGTGGAAAACAATGTAATCACATTTTATGTAATTTCAAACGAATGTCTATAATATAATGTTTTTTGTGTAATTTTGTTGACATTTAAATTTATGTTTGACTTTTTTGAAGGGGTTTTGTTGCGATATTTGTATCCAAATTCAAACCGTCAATCTATTGGGCACAGAAGTCTCATCCGAGCTCTCATGCGGTGGCTTTGTTATTAATTTGCCAGCCTTCATAGGTGCTCGCTAACAGCACTTGCCACAACTGTCTATTTAGGCTATACAGAAGATATTTATCTTCTTCTTTGTCCTGCAGGTGTGTGTAATTTGGATTAAATTTGTGTTTGTTTCGTAAAAAAATTGCTTAGTGATTGATGGAAATTTTGGATTGAGGCAGATTATGAATTCATAATGAAGATGACAACGGCGATAATGATTATAATACCATATTTCTGATGCTGTGCAATATGCTGTTGCATGCTAGTGAGTGCTTGTGCTTTGCATGTGTGAGAAGAGAGAACACGGTTCAAAGAATAACCAATCAATACATGTGTCCTTACACGGAAAGTCCCATATAGCCAGTTACCCAGCTAGTTTGCAAGGAGGATTTGTTGTGCATTTGCACAGAACAAAAAAAACAACCACCATTAAATACCTACGCATAATCAGAGTCAAGCGGAAACTATTTTCGATTTAAAGCTTTCGTGACTGCAGGGATGCATCTTCTTGGTTCTTTTGGTAAAGTCACGTAGAAGGGAAATAATAAAATAATAAAACATAATAAAATACAAATTCTCACGACGTTTCGGCCACAACACAAGCAGCCGTCCTCAGGTGAAGAAACAGAGCTGTCGGAAAGACAGCGTCACAATCATTGGGACGCTGTCTCCGTGACTTTACCGAAAGAACCAAGAAGATAAACTATTTTATTTGTATTTATCAGTGGTTGTTTATCACACATAAGCTGTTCAGTCGTATGCTGCATTGCTCATTATCTCCGGGAATTTTAAGGATAAGAGGAGTTACCCAGAGGTGCCTGCCAATTATTCCTGTCATGTGTATCTATCCGGGCGTGTCTGTGGATAAGCAGAGTTTGTTTTGTGAATAAATACACAATCAAATCCCCCAATGCCCTCAAAATCAATATGGATAATAGGAATTCCACTGTAGTTCGGGTTCAGCTCATGTCCCAATGTGCTTGCCTTATCTGCTTGTTAGAAGGTTCTCGTATTCCAGTATCTGTTCCTTATGCAGGGATTCTCTCTTTTCTTAAAAAAAAAAAGCCTCAACAAGTTAAAATCGGCAACATAAATATATATGTGCACATGCTTAAATGTAGCACTTAATTTAATTGAAGCTAAGAGTGTACATTAGTTATCATCTATATTCGTTGCATTGAAACGTGGGCTATAGTTTGTCATCACTGTTACCATGTTCGTGTGGCTTTTTCCCCGGGTGCTCCGGTCTTTCCTCCACATTTAGAAACACGCGTTTAGAGTATTTGGCTGCTATACATTTCCGCATGATAAGCCACTTCTTTCCGCCATCAATTGTGGCCAGGAAACATCTGAAAAAGAGCTATATTGCTCAGTGGTGCCTTACCTGGTAAAATAAAACTAGTTAATAGTATTCTGTCTCCTTGTACCTGTTTTCCCTGTACTGTATATTCATACGATTTCTTTCCATTGGCACTTGTTGTCTTCGTAATTAAACAAATAATTTCGTGACGCTGAGTTGGCAGTGGTGCACAAGAACAAATACCAAAAGAATAACACATTCATCAACAGCACAGCCTGAAAAGGAACGTACGTAAATAGGTGACGTTTTGGGTGATCGGCCTTCTTTATAGCACATAATGTGCTATGAAGAATAGCAATCGCGCCCAGATCATGTGTTATGACAAAGGCTCATTTCTCAAAACATTGCCTATCATATACTTTTTTTCGATTTAAAGCTTTCGTGACTGCAGGGATTCATCTTCTTGGTTCTTTCGGTAAAGTCACGTAGAAGGGAAGTAATAAAATAAAAAAAATAAACATAATAAAATAATTCTCACGACGTTTCAGCCACAACGCAAGCAGCCGTCCTCAGGTGAAGAATGAAACACCACCAAGCTTGGAGCGTATATTTACTTATATATTTTTCCTTTGAAGGTAATGTTATTGAGGAATGTGTTACATTTGTTATTGTCTCATTGGGAATGTTTTACTCATAAACAGATTATGGGTGAATTGAAATGCAGTGTAACCCACTTTTGTTAATAGCAATATGAGTAAACAGATGACTCCGATGTGTATATTGTTAAATAGCTAAAATTAGTCGAGGGATGCAAAGGATGCCTGCAAATATACATCAGCACCCTGGAGTCAGCTCATTAGCTTTACATATTAAAGCCTGTTCCAGTGTACACCACACAGTCACAAACATGCATCATACAGCTTGAAGTCATATGGAAATTACACACAAAAGAATACAGCCACTCCAGTGACAATTACAGTGATAATTTGTCGAAATGTGCAGACTCATTGTGCCAAGAGCATTTACACCTCCCTCGCCGACTGCCACCTCTCACGATCCTGGAATGCCACAATCCATCCAGCACCTGCAGATGAACTGATGTCATCCCTCCATCTCTGCGGTGGACGTGCTCGCAGACATATTCTATTCCTTGGCTGCTACTACATTATTATTCTTGGTCATTATTAATCTGCCCTTTTAGTGACATGTCCTGCCCGAGCCCACATACTTTTCTTAATCGATCAGATGATGTCATTAACCTACGTTTCTTCTCTAATGCATGTACTCATCGCTGTTCTCTCAATATAATTCCAAGCATGAATATACCTACTCAGGTTTTATCCACACTTATCAGTTTTTGTTTTATATTCTAGTATTATAGACAATTTTTTGTGAACAATGTGTCATTGCAGGTAGTACGCAGTGAATTAAAACTTTGTTCCACCATTGGAACCTCATTTGCCAGTAGCAACATATTTTGATAATTAAATTATCATATTTTGCTACTGGCAAATGAGGTTCCAATGGTGTAAATGCTTACCTCGAGCTCTCATACTCTGATGGTGCATTGTCCTTGAGTTGTGCGCCTTTTGGTGTCATCTGGTCCAACACCATGTGAGACTAGGCTCTAAAGAAAGCTGTCTCGAGTGTGGACCAATCAATTTCAAGGACAGTGCATACATTATCAGAGTTATGTTTTTTGTGTGCATTCCAACTGCAGGTATTGTGGTCAATGCAAACATGACTCCTTGTAAAAAAGGTGTCAGTTTTGTTTCCAGATAAAAGGGTAAAAAAACAATTATCATATTATAAAACTTTGTTCTTTAGGAACATTGCTATGGTTAATTTTTATTATCAAGTTCAGCTTTCCAAAAACACTCAAACCCGCTCTTGTCCACCTCTTTGTTTCATATTTCTTGATTTTGGTCGCCTTCGTTTAGGTAAAAACATACTGTGCTGTTTTCCACTTGTCCCTCCGTTCACAAATTTATTGTACATTACCTTTTTTTACTCATATTCTTGGGTCTTTCGGTAAAGTCACGTAGATAGGTTCAAAGAAAATCACAAAAAACTACAACGTTTCGATCGCAACACAAGCAGTCGTCTTCAGGAAAAGGGGAGTTAGCTTCCAAGGCAAACTGTTTATAAGGGTTTGAAATGGGCATAGCCCAAATGTCAGCAGCCAATGATAATGTAAGTGGTTGGTAGCCAACCCGACGGTGGTTGCTTTTCCACCAATCAAAGGGCTGCCAGGTAAAATTAGCATGTTAATGAGAGATTAGCATGTTGATGGGAGATCGTAAAGCCGCAACCAAGGGGTGAGCGCGTGAAGTGGCTGTGTTTGTGTGAACCCTGTGAAAGTGCAAGTTTGAAATGGGCGTAAAGCACAACTAACATCGGAAGGTGGTAGGATGGGAACATCACAGCCAGTTATGACTTAAACTGGTTGATAAGGTCCTTCCAATGATTGCTCAGTTTATACCCATCTTCTCGGTGGAAATTGTGTCTGTGTCTATATATATGGATGGCTTCATGAACGAATCTTTGTTGAAAATCCCAGCTTTGCAGACTTCTCTATTCGGGTTTTTAACATGTCCTGCAGCACATTCCCATTTTCAATGCACTGCCCTGTTAGTCTGCGAGCTCTTTCATTGCGTAAAGTCCTGTCATCCATGAATCAATTTGTTCCTCTAGGTCTTTGCTTCTGTTGCATAGAGTTAGCCTAAAATCAGATACTTGCCGATCTAGATGCTTGATGTTAACTATCTCAGTTTTCCCTGCAATTACTTTTGGCCTCTATTGGTTGTTCTGAAGTGCAACTGGCAACGCACCAGTTTGTGATCACTTTCTGTATTTTATTTGCCGAGGACAGAGACATCTACGATGATCTGGAGTTTGTCTGCTCGACTCAAGTCAATCTCGTTCCAAAAGTCACCCTATCGGTTCCTCCACGTTTTCCTCCACACCTTTAAAATATACGTTCATAGTTATTGCGATCTGCATGCAATTCCTCCATTAATTTTATGATTCTGTCTATTTCATGCATTGTGGGATTATCTTGAGGGCTACCATTTTTAAATTATCAATAATGTCCTTAATGGTTGGCTTCATGCACATGTTGTATCATTGCAAATTCTATAACCTGTTTGTTATTCTTGGTTCTTTCGGTAAAGTCACGTAGGAAAATAATAATAAAAATAAAACAATAATAAATTGTTCTTGCTGTGGTTTTCACACCTGATGATGATTGCTTGTATTGCAATCGAAACGTCGTGATAATTTTATTGTTTTATTTTTATTATTTTATTGGTTTTTTCTCTTCTACGTGACTTTACTGAAAGAACCAAGAATATGAATCCCTGCAGTCATGAAAGCTTTAGATCGAAATTTAACTTGTTTGTTATGTTCTCTACTGTTCTATTCCAATGTTCTGTGAATTCTGAATGTGTTTTGGCATTTTCATCATATTTCCAAAATCTCATTTTCTTTCATCATCAAGCATTTTGCTCGTTTTCTGTTGCCCTCCGGCATTTGGGGTCCCATAACCTGCCAGCGAGGCTTGAACAGTTCACATGGTGTAAAATAGCACTTAACCTGACAGAAGAACGGTGGTGATGTCACCACAACATTTTCCTGTGTTTGTGTGTCTTGGTCTAAAAAGCTCCAACATCAGCACCCAAGGACCTCACGGTGGTGACCCGTGAAGGAAAGCCACGCACTGTCCTGGTCAATTGGCAACCCCCAGCAGAGTCCAATGGAAAGATTACCGGTAAGTAGAGATCAAACATCTAAACACCTATTTTATAACTATGCAAAATACATTTCAAGCAGCATCGAATCCAATGTTTGTATTTACATAGATGTAGGTCCATATAAGTAACTGCATTTGACTTTCATTCTGTCAATCACAACCTTGATTTGAGTAATTGCTGTCACACAGGCTCCAGTGAGCACCCATTCTGTGTGAAATAGAGACCTATGGTATATGAAATGCAATTGACGTTTGACCTATGACCCTTAACCTTGATTTAAAAAATAATCATATGCTTAGACCTGGAACAATAAGTTGATTAAGTCAATGGACAAACAATTTGCAGCAACCTGCTGCGACCGACGGTCACGTCCCACCTCCACCTCTGATCTCGAATCCTGATGGCCCGTGCTCCCGCTCGCACATCAGTGAGGAAAAATAATAAACTAGCACTCGACGACGCGTCAAACAAATCGTCCACACGCGTACTCGGCATGCATCAGCCCCCATCTGTTTGTATGTTTCCTTCTCCCCTAGACGCATCCGTTATGAGCTCTGGCGGACAGGCTCTGACTCCCATATTAATATGGGGCAACAATCGAGAAGTACGACCGATGTCGCACTTGCTCTCACTGAAAACACCTGAATTTGCAGCAACAACGATTAAATTCGCCCCGTTGTGCCTTAGGCAAACCAGTATTCTCGTTACAAGGGCTTCTGCCCACGTTTCATCTGACCCGGCTCTCTCCTACATCGCTTCCGCGATGTTTGTCGCCACCACCTCGCAACACGCGGGCTCTCTCCTCCATCGCTTCCGCGATATCGATCGCCACTGCCTCGGCTCACTCTGTACATACTTGCACAGTGATGATGAAGATAACGATGATGTTCATGATGATAATGTTGTTGCTTATGCTTGCGTGGTGTTGATGATAACGATTATAAGTTGTGGTGTTTTTGGCGCTGCTAATGTTGTTGCTTCTACTATTGTTTATTCAGGAAAGCCTTTAGAAACTCCAATTAATTAACATTTTGTATGTGTAACGAAACAGTACAACCCTGAGATACCTCGCACATACAGGGCAAAAACACTCAAAGGTCCTTGAGGAAATGTTCATGTACCCGATTGTTGTATTGGCACCTCCTCACCATTTTACAGCCGCGCATGATAGGAAGTTTCACAAATCTGTGTCATCCACTAACCTATTGCTTCCAAAGTGTGGAGGTTTTTAGACTTGAAATGCTGTGCTGTTTAATCTTGCTGAGCATTTTTATTTCCTGTTCAATGTATTTTTATATGTTTCTGACTATAATGATTTAAGTCCAAATATATCATGTTAACACATATCCAAAGGTTAATTTGGCTCCATGTAATGTCAGGTTTTTGATTGCTGGCTTTTGTACTCTCATGTTAGCACTATTCATTAAAGCAATATGATTGCTCTCTGTTTTATTTCTAGCTCTTGAAACGTTCCTGTTTCATTGCTAATATGAATGCTGGTCACATATCCATATATTCTTGTAATATGCCTTCTGCCTCTTGTACAGCAATGCACCTACTGTGTAAAATTATCTGATTCTCATTATATTTCTGTTCACTCTATCCACCTGCTGAGTTTTTCAATTTTCTCCTGCATTGTACGGTATGCCCTCTGGCTCTTTTAATCTCCTGACTTTTGTGTCATATCTGTGTTTAAATAGTTGGTCTAGATGTGTATTCCCACCGGATTTTCCCCCTTTAAGTTTATTTGGGCTTCCTAACCACGCGTGATACACGGCTGTCAAGAATAACATTCCTTGAAACGTTTCTGCAGGATGTTATTATATAATTGATGTATATTCATCCCATAATTGTGTCTCCTTGTTCAAATGCGTATGGGGTGGTGCTCATCTCAATTCTCAGCCATGACCCAGTGGTGGGAATTCGACATTTATATGATGGCTGCCAATCTTTCAACAGGGCAATCATTCCATAATTTATGCACAGTGGTAATCATTTTATCGATCCCAGGGATACTGGGGGCCTGAATTAACCTCTTCATGGGGTTTGTTAGTTAAATCAACCACTTTGCTCTCGAACTACCGAGCCATATATTAATATGGTACCTATTAATTTTCATAACGCCTGCTCGCTCTTGATAAAGAATTTCACATCAGTTCATCCATCTCTTATATTCTTACTAAGTATTGTGACATTTATGCTGGTTCTGGAATTGGGTCTCTTGCATGCGCACCACAGGATACATGATCTACTATTCAGCGGACGTGAACATGCAGCTGCATGACTGGGTGGTGGAGCCTGTGGTGGGAGACCGCCTATCACACCAGGTGCAGGAGCTTACCCTGGACACCATCTACTACTTCCGCATGCAGTCGCGGAATGCCAAAGGAATGGGGCCTGTGTCAGACCCTGTCCGCTTCCACACACCAAAAGGTGCCACCACACATCATTCTCCACACATTCAGTGACTATCTACATGAACAACAGCTGTGTTCTTAACACCATTAATGATGCTTAACCAGCAACAATGCACAAACTAAATGCATGTTTATATGTAATTTATATAAGTCTGTGTGCTAAAAATCGGCGCTGCATTGGTAGGCTTGTGGACATTGCAAAATATACACACAAATATTCAGAACTTTATCAATTATTTTAACGCATTTAGAAACTGCAGAGAAAAAAAACTGTTTGAAGTGCTCCATGGGGAGCCGTCTGAGCCCCGCTCATCTCATCAGCAAGTGCCAAGAAACGCAATTTGTGCAGTAACACTGGAAAGACAAAGGTGTCACCGGTTTTGTTAATTGAGGCCCGGCTGTAGTTCATATTTGACGCATACGCTCTACACAAGGCAATCACAGTAGAAAGGCGCACGATGTCAGCAGATTGAAGAAAACAGTGGGCCAGTGCAATACAAATAGCAAAGTCTAAGAGTTAGCCTCCAGAGGGTTTTTCAGCCAGGATTTATACTTGTGCAAGGATAAATATGTTTTCAGACAGCATATTTGAACAGTTTTAGTGTTAGATGAGGACTATGTAGAGGCATCTGTCATTGAGAGATCCCAGGATGAGGAGTAAGTCCAGTGGATGCTCCTCTCCAATTAATTAGGTCAGCTACCTCAGAGTGAAGTAAAAGTGCTGATTCTGCACTTGGAAGGAGCCAAGAGCAAGTTGAGTAGAGCTGAAACCTCCAAAAATGTGGATGACAACCAACCCAGTGAGGGGAAGGGCAAAGAGGCTGCAAGAATTCCTGCAGAGGCTGGAGCAGCAGAAAAAAATTAACCCGTAAAAACAACGTTTTTCACTATAAATCCTTTATATGTAAGATCACCTCTTGACATGCCCCGTATATTCCCGAGGGCACTAGCGTTGACCCGTTTTACCACTTTCAAGAACCTGGCGGCTTCAATTTAACGGCTCTATAAATAGTCTCCATTGTACAGCATGGGGGCAGGTATTTCATGCCATGTGGTTAGTCAACATTTACGTCATCATGAAACGGGCGGCTAGAGTCCTCTCGTCCTCTGGCTTGAGATGGCTGCCACCTATGGGTCAGATGATTGCCTGGCACCATTAAGCAATTGGTAATTCAATATTTAATTTTTTTCCCTAAACAGTGTAAAATTTTTGAAATTTTTTTACGAAAATTAATTGTCATGCACAACGAGTCTGTGTGCAAAATGTCAGCTCGATTGGATCACAGGAAGTGGGTTAAAAAACGACCGAAAGGTTTGCACGGTCCTAAGCAAGCAAGCAAGCACGCAAGCAAGCAAACTTAATATAAAGGATTTAAAAAGACAAAAACCAGAGTATCAGAGTCTTCGGATGAGTATTCTGATGCCTTGTAGATATTGTGTTGAAAAAATAATACAAATATTAATGAAATGTTAAAATCTTAATTAACGTGGAATATGAATTGTACGAATTAAATGTAATAAAAATGTATGTGTTAATGATTATTATCGATTAAATGTAACGATTAATTCGTATGCATATGATCATGAAGATAATTATGCATATGATCAGGAAGAATAGTTTGAATACGATTTTATTAATCCACCTTGATAATTAGTTAATTTAATGAAACAATAAATTAATAGATTATCGCATGAATCAAGTCATTATTTTCATCATTGCATTTCACGTTGTCTCGAGGTATGTATTATAAATCGTGATAATATCAATGATTTTCCCTTGAACATTTACTGATTCTCGCTTTAGCATTTATGCGTAATTATGTCAGGTCTCAGAATTCAGATCTCACCACAGGATACAATTCTCGCAATTGAGAGTTAGGAAAGGAACACACAGACCCTTTTTGATTTAAGCAACTTTAATATCAACTTACATTGACATCCAAACATACTGATCAGAGTAGAACTACAGTACCCATGCAAATATACGTACTCATCACTTTGGAAAGCATCAATGATCAAATCTCATGATTATGTGATTTAAAGAAAACAAAAGACAAACATTTCCTGGTAAAGCGGTAATACAATAATTTGTTAGTGATGATCTGTGCTATTTGTTAGATGAGATTATTCTTGGCCTGCAACGTGTACAAAGTGCAGTTACACATTCCTGCGGAGGGAGCTGGTAGGAACGTTGGGTTGCTCGGTCAATGGCCAGGGTCAACGGCGGCGTGGTGTATTCCGCAAATATGCCCGACTGTGAGGGCGGGCACAAGCCGTCGTGAGTAGGTTAAACGTTGAGTTTTATAAGGGCACCACGGGGTGACCAGCCCCTCCCCATCCAGCCCTACCCCTCCCACCCCCCACCCAGCCCCACCCTCCCCACCCAGCGCCTCACCCCAGCCCCTCCACCCCCTCCCCACCCAGCCCCTCCCCACCCTCTCCACCCAGCCCCACCCCTCCCATTTTTGGATGCACGACGGACGGACGGACACAATAATCCGCTATGGGCTGGTGTCACCAGGAGGTTCCTACCAGTAATAGTGAGTGAGTGTAAAGTGAATGTGCCATCTCTCTTTTCCCCGAAAAGTACCTCTAGTCCAACAAGGGAGTGTTGAATGGTAGGCTTGGTCCACTGCTGGAGTGTGCTTCTAGCCACGCTGCTCACTGCACGTCCGCAGCGTTGTCTGGACTTTATGCTTGATCGACCGCTGGAGTGTGCTGCTATCCTTGAATCAGCATGTTTTGCTGTCAGTTATCAGCTCTGCCACGCATTTGCAGGTTGTCTGCACACCAGGATCGATCTAGCAACTTGAGCACACTGAGGCCATGATCGAAGTCCTTGGCTCTGCAAGAGACGTAAAAAAGTAATGAAAAATATCAAAGAAAACTTGGCTACTGTCAGGGACACTTGGAGGAGTCTGACTAAGCAAGAACTCAACTCTTCTAGATTTGAAGCTTTCGTGACTGCAAGGATTCATACTCTTAGGTTTTTTCGGTAAAGTCACGTAGGTAAAAAAAAAAATTAATAAAAGTAAAATAAAAAATCACGACGTTTCGGAGGCAACACAAGCTTCCGTCTTCAGGTGGAACCGTCACAGCACGATTGCTGTATCAAGTAATACATTGCTGTATCAAGTAATACAGCAATTTTGCTGTGACGGTTCCACCTGAAGACGGAAGCTTGTGTTGCCTTCGAAACGTCGTGATTTTTTATTTTACTTTTATTGTATTTTTTACTTGCTTGACTTTATCGAAAAAACTCAACTCTTAGCGACTCAGATGGCTATCCCTGGAGTTTGCCTCTGCATGACTGACGAATATGATTTGTGTCTATTATATAGGAATTTCTACCTTATTTCGTTAATTCCCTTGGCCATGTCAGAGCCCAAAGCTCCTCCCACTGTCACGCCCTTCGAGCATTCATCAGGACAGCCTTAGTTCAACTTTTATCCTGGTTCTCTAGGCCTCTTGTGGTGTGGGAACACCTCCATTCATCTGTGAGTGTCCATGTCTTTGTTGGTCCCCTCTCCTATTGAGCCTGCTTCGCTGGGTTAGATTCCCACTTCACAATCAACACAGTGGCAATTATCTGAAATGGTACTGGTTACCCCTCTAGGTTGACTCAGCCTTAAATTTAATACCTGGTGTGGCATGTAAAGATCGACACTGGAAAGACAAAGGCGGTTGGGCATGGCTCTGGTTTATACACCCTTGAATATATATTATTTTTGGTCATGTAGAATTGACAATTAGTATATATGTTGTCCTGAATGATCCTTAGGTTCGGTACTTTAACACCGAACTTCTATAATTTCATAGTTTTCAGGCTTCAAATGCTTAACCCAGACCTTATGCTAATAATTTAGGGATAACAGTGATTGTAAATTAGAATTTACAAAAGTCGTATTTAAAACATTTGGACCTTGAGCTGCATCGTCATATAACAGTACATCCTATCATCAAAGTTAACGTTTAATACCGTGATGTTTAAGAATATTCATATGTGGTGGTTATCATTCTGAACATTTCCATTATACAAACACCAAGACTTGTATAAATAAAAAACGGCTTTGATGCTGCATGTGGCTTTCCTGACATGGGCACAGTTAAAAGCTAGTTTCCAGCGGCAATGGAAAACTGGCACAACAATTATTGATATCTCAGCTGACACTGTTTGGTGTCATGACCCACTGCTGAAGATGGCTAAAATGACCAGATGTCGTTCTACTGTATACCTAACCCATGGGATACTCAGCATTCATACTTCCAGGGTACACCTCGTTGGTAAATACAGCCGCAAGAAAATTATGAACAATGGCCTCTCAATGATTGGTAATGGTACCGTCACTATATAATCTTATATAAGTGACCTGTCATGTACATCAAATTACAAATTCATATATGCAGGTGACATAGACCTTGCTGCACAGGGCACGAAACTTGAAAACATTGCCAATACTCTTAACATGATCTTATGTTTTGATTTAAAGCATATACCTGGTGTTAGACTCCAAACAAATCCCTCCAAAACTACCACAAGTGTGTTCCACATGGATAATCATGCAGTGGTAGCCTTGTGTGCATAGACTCCACTCCAAGATATCTAGGGGTTATGGATAGAATACTGACCTTCAAGCCCTGCTGCAGAAACTTGCAGGAATGACCTTGTGCGTCTCAGCTGATGTACTGCAAACTGCAGCTCTCTCACTGGTCTACTTCGTGGTGGAGTAATTGTGCTTCTGCCTGGTCTGGAAGCTTGTACACACAACTGCTAGATGCACAATCAAATAATGCAATGAACATAATTGGAATTCTGAAGCGGACACCAATCTCAATTTCCTGTCCATAATGGCTCCATGTTCTGGCAGACATTCTGCTGCTAAATATTCGCAGAAACATGCCAACTACAAGGGAATTCACATGTTTTCTTGCCAATGACAAATAACCCATCAACCAAGAATTCAACAACGTACCATGCCGCCTACTCCAAGCCCCCCTATCCACCTACTGGCATTG